AACGAAAAATTTTTATTCTATATTTTCGACTTCTTTTTTCGCGTAGAATCACCCCCTTTCCGCTTGTACCACCAGTTACCAACCACCCTGTATATACGAACGTTTTACCTATAAGATGGAAGATTTAATTCTCTTGCTTCGGAGCTCCACACGCCATATCGTCGCAATTCTTCATCGCCTTCATACTCTTCGTTCAAAGTATTATTAGATTCACTTATATCACTTTTTTCTAACGTCAACCTTGCTTTCCTCAAGACAGAAGTATGTAATCTCTCAAGAAAATTTAAACTTTTTCTTAAACCTCTAGTCTTTAATACATCTTCAATATACTTCCTAGGAATTAAAGAAAAAAGAAAGAATTAACCTATTCATTAAACGTAAAAGGATCTTTTAATACTTTAACATAATATTCACCTGTAAGCTTGCCGATCGAATTCAACTAGGTAAAAGTCAAATCTATCGTTTTTATCATCGTCTGCACATGTAAATGACGATTCAGGAGTAGAAGGCCAGGATTGTACGAAAGATAAACCAGAAGAATTATTACTATTATTGCTATCTGAAGGGCTGGAATTTTCATCTTGTTGGTTTGAAGTATCAAATCGTACCAAAGTTTGCTTCCACTCTAAATGATCGGTCACATCGGAAGATCGTGAACTAAAACGAAAAGAAGAGTAAGTTTCCTTGTTAAATATCGTATTTTGTTATGATAATATCATTATTTCTGACACCTTATTCCAGAATCTCCAGTATCATCGTGTTTTTTCTTTGTATGCGACATCATTAATAATTTTCCCAGTATTTGTAATTTGAGTCGATGATGCTTAGTCATATTATACCAAAGACACATTGCCTTCACTCTACCAATAAATTCTGTACTTTTGTATAAAGGATAATGTGCAGCAAAGGCTTGTGACGAAGGATAAAGTGCTTCTGCTACCTCTAGCCTAGACAGTAATCCTTCTACTTGCTGTAAAGCTTCACCTTGTGCTCGTGCACATGCTCTACAATACATCGAAAGACAACCTGGACAAATACCTAACTCTATATTTGGACTAGATCCTACGTTTACTATTCGATCAATACGCGTGGTATTAATATTAATCCAAGGCGTATTATCATTCTTTACACTCGCAATAGGATCATATCTAAAAATTAACATTATTTTATTTAAATTCTTTTCCGATTTTATAACTGTAGGAATCTATTAAATTCTTACATAATTTACCTATACTTCATTATTTCTTTAAGTAAACCTTCTACAGCCTCACGTTGCTTGCACAAGTACTCATCTTGAGCCATTGGACTCCGATCAGCATGGTGAGCTTGTAGTTCTAGCCATATTAGATCTTTCAATTCGTTTTGCCACCGCGTTTCTTCATGACTGATTTGCCGACGGCAATTACGTTCCGTACTTCCCTACAAAATATAAACAAAACTTTAGTATGTGCAAATTTTTGATATAAATGTATTTTTTACGAGATTATTCGTAATAGAATATTCTCATACCAATCTAATTAAAAAAGAAAATGTATCATGAAATAATTCCCGTTCTTTAAGACTCAACGTTTTTGGTGATTGCGCGATCGATTCCCTATCACCAGTAATTGGAATTTTCTCGATAAGTTTAACTTTAGGCTTTCTCTCTTCTACATCAACAGGTTTGGATCGCAAACTACGGAATCTATTTCGAGTTTCAATCTATAAAAATTTTCAATTAGTTTTACATCTGGAAATTCGCCAAACAATTTTCTACAATTCAAATTATTTATTATTATTTTATACCTTCATATGATTAGGAGTAGATACTTGATGAGGATCAAATTTCTCGTTATAATTATAAGCTGCCTCCATATCCAGTTTTAAATCTCTTTCAGTTCCACGTAACACTTTCAATGTCCTTTTGCATTTTCGATTTCCTTCCTTCGCTATATCTTGGTTCACCTCGTTTTCACAATCCTTATCTGCTTTGTCACACATTTCGTTAAAAATAATGTTGTCCAGAGTATTGCGCCTACGGATCGCTGCTTTCGATGGTATGTCTTTTTCTAACGATTTCGTTTCCCTTAAAATTAATTAAATTTATGTGTACGATTAAATATATGACAAAATACGGTATTCAAAAAGATATGTATAATATATTTTTTAACATATATGAATACGTGTATGAAATTGTAAAGGAATATATTTTTATCTTTTAATATTTAATAAAACTTCATATATGTAATTTAACATTTACGAAAAAATTGTTTAAGATCGCTTAAAAAACTCGTTCTTTCATTTTATTTGATAAACAGAAATAATTTATAATATACTCTTCTGGAATACGCTGATTTATGTTTGCAATGTATCATGAACACTTGTAATAGCATATTAATTTTGATATACATTATATACAAAATATTGGTGACTCATTGAGTACCATTTTAGTCAAATTCTTCATTTTGATTCACTTAAGATGATTACAAGGTATGATGGATTTTCTTAAATTCATACTAACTGTTAATAAACTGCTTTAAAAACTTAAAGATACCAATTACAACAATTCTTTTTATTTTATCTTTACGAATGATTTAAAAAAACTTATGGAATATTGGAGAAACTGTAATTATACTGTACTATTATGTATTACTGCATTATATTGCATTTATTTAGTTAAGCCCCATTTAACTATCTCCGTTAAAAAAACAATCCTTTTAAAAAATGTATTAAATGTTGTCTCTTAAATAATTATATTAAATATTGTGCCTTCTACATAGCTATCTATCCTTTACCATTATACCTTTTGCAATAAGACAACATGTTTATTATTATTTGTCTACATTAATAAAAATTAATGAAATAAAAATTCTACTTTATCCTATTCTATTATTTGTATAAAATATATAATCTTACATATACATTGATAAAATTATATTATAAAGATCGATCATAATATTTTTATCGTTATAACATTATGATTTATCGTAAATATATTTTTATTAATGATATCTACTTTCATAATAATATCTTGATATAATTTTACACATACATTTACAATTTACAAATTATAAAACAATTGTTGCAAATTAGATTAAAGATCATATGTATATGTAAATACGTGTAAATGTACGGTTTCATAAATGTTTTTCTCAGGCTATTGTTTTTATTGTATTTCCAAATTTTCTATTAATTAGAAAAACAATTATTAAAATTTAACATTAAACATGTAGAGATATATTGGGAAAAATGAAGGAACGCTTCAACTGTTTCGCGTATAAGAAAAGTAAACGCTAATTAACTTACCCTCCGCTAAGTTTTTGTCTCATGTATCGCTTCTTTCGATTAAGTCGAGTTCTCGGTGGTGTCTGTCCATAAATATCGCACATTGCTTGAATCGAGTCATCGAATTCACTTGTCGAACAGCTTGAACCTTTTTTCCTGAAAAAGGCATGAACTACTAAAATAGATCAAATAAAAATAAAATTCGGAGGAGATACATCAAATTTTTAAACATTACAAACTAAAACTTACTTGTATCGTCAAATAACATTACCATACATATAAAATAATATTACTGAAAAAGTTCAATGATAAACATATAGCGCTAAAAATATCCTTCGAATACTTGCTGCCAGGTTTGTATATAAAAAATATTCATTGAAATATTTAGCAATTTAAATATCTTTAATTTTATAATTATATCGGTTTATTGACGTATGTGCATGAAATGATACGTATATAGTATGCACGTACATATATGTACTTAGAATTACGATATATAGCATGTGTAATATCATAATAGTATTAAATTATTATTATTAAAAACGTTCATTACATGTGGAAAAAATAATAAAATAATTATATTAAAATATTAATTATATGCGGAAGTAAATCAATGAATCATTTTTATTCTCAGTACTTTTTATTTTTTTTATTCTATGTACTTGTCAAATTGTTTTGAACAATTAAATAAATTATAATCTAATTATATACAAAAATGATACAACCAAAACCAGATATTAATAAAAACTTATCATGTATTTTAAGAAACTGTACCTGTACTATTGTTAATTTTGTTTCAAATAAGTGTTAATAAACAACTATTTGATTAAATACATGAGTATATGAAATGAGTAACCAATTTTACGTTACATGTAATAATTTTACAATGTTGCATATGACAGACATAAATATTAAAATTATGAGTATAGTAAACGGAGTTATATGCATCGCATCACACTAAATAGATATCTATTTTGATAAACGGAATAGACGCTTGCTTTTCTATACAACATTTTTATACAACGTTGACACTTTGCCACGAAGTGCCAATGCATGAAATATACTATCCATATATTGATAAATGTCGTCACTCCAAGATCGACACTCGTTTCGCATGGGTAATAAACTTATTCATTGTATTTTACTATACTGTTTGTTATAGTAATGTACCAGCGATCCTGTTTTAAGTACTAAAAGTCGAAAAAATGTTGAATGACATGTAAACAAAACGTAGACATTACTCCAATCAAAATTCTTACCGGTGGTATTTTTGTATTACTGTTACTGTAAGTTGTTCGAATCACGTGGCAAAACGAACATCTGACAAACTTACCTAACATAGCCATTATCATCGTCTGATGAACCTGAGAATGAATTTTCTGTAACATGACTTTGTATATCATAACGAAACATTCTCCTCAGATGACAAACACATCGCACTCAAGGCACCGTTGTAATCGTCCACTGAGTAGTAATGGGCGATAGAGTATCGATGTTTCGAATATCGATACTTTTCAATTCAAGTATCGATGTTGAATATAACGATATACTCTAATATCGATACTGTCCAATGAAATAGTTCACTTCTATTTTCCTCAGTTCCGAGCAAACTAACCAAAAAATATTTAACAGTAAGTACAACACCCGTTTCATCTAAACGAAATCGATTAAATATATGAAGAATATCTACAATTATTGCTACTTTTAAGTTCGCTATCCAATGAAGAATGGTATGCTAAATAAAACATTCTATAGTTTATGTTTAATGTTCTATACATATTTATGTTTATTGTACATTTAAAACATTCCATTTAAACAAACGGTGCAATTTTGCTCCTTTTTTATGACGTGGTTTCTTTTTTTAGCATTTTTATTCAAATATATTAATAATTCTCATACTACATTATTAAATTCTCAAATATATTAATAATATCACATACATTAACACTCTGAGGCCTGAGACGCGAATTCGCATCTTTCATACTTCATACGGTATTTTATAAAAATTTTTCTACTGTTAAATAAAACAGTAAAAAAAGCAGTGAATGCTATAAACAAAAAGTTATGAAAGTATTTCATATATAAATAATACAAAATCGTTATCTATATATTACATATAACATTGATTGCTTTAAATCTTTTTTAATCGCTCCAAAAACATCAAAGAAATCAGGCTATGTGCTTGTCAGAGCAGCCTGTCCCCGGAGTGGTAACATTTCCACCTGAATTTATTTGTATTAAACAGATTCAAATTGTTTCTCATAGGCCATAAAATAAAATTTATATATTCATAAAGTTAATAAATATTGTAGATATAATTAGAAATTATCTAAAGTCAGAAGACATGGATCACAAATAAAGAAAAATACATGGAAATAAATAAATGTTAAAAAAAAATGTTATACTTTATCACAAATTACATTTTTAGACAATTGGACTTTGTGTTAATGGCAACCAGGAAATTTATTCCATCAACCTGTTTCAACAAAAAAGTTAAGGTTTTAACAACATCATTGTACAGATGAAGTTATAAAAATATAATTTAAATGTACTTTAGTTTTTTTGGAAATTCATTATCTTCTTCTTCACCATCTTCTCGCTATTTTTGTGGTAATTGCACCATTGTATCTGACACTGCAGTGATGCGCATATAAATTTTAAAATTCGTGGAGACTATTCTTATCTGACTTAACAACTAATTAACTTTTTGTACACTGAAAATAAAAATTATGTTGTTACTTAGAATTAATGATATAAAAAATATCGTTTTTAATGTAAAGGCTAATGAATGCTTATCAAGAGATTTTACGCACAACTGCTAAATGATGATAAATCTGGATCTTTTTCCATAGTATTAGGATTCAAATTTTCCTTACTTTGTATTTTATCTGGAAACTGGAAAGTATGCAAAACAAATTATAATTTAAATCTAGAGCTTCCTAAATATAAAATAAAAAAACAAAATTGATTATTGTTTAATTAAAGCATCAGGAACAATAGTCTTGATTCATTACTATCAGTCTTTTATTGACAGCTTACTTCGCTTTCATTTTATCAATCCTATTTCACTAATATCTTTTGCCTTAATTTCGCTATTTTCTTTTCTAATCCTATACTCTTTTACAACCATAAATAAGTTTAGAAACTCAAAGAAATAACTCTACGCTACTGGTTGTTATAAATGAATAAAATTTAAAATATTATCATTTTTATATTTAATTAAACTTCTTACTTTGATATAAAATTATTTTCTTCTATATTCTTTAAATCTTGCAACATTTTTCCTTTCCATCTTAAGTGTTTTTATCTGCTGTTCTATCCTTGTATTTGTTTGAGAGATCAATTCACAGATATTTGGAAAATTTTTGTATATTATATTCCTTAATGATAATAAATTTATTGATATTTTGGACTTCGTTGTACCCTTTAACTTAAAGCAAAATGAACTCTGACTGTTCTTCATAAACATCTGATCAACAATATTTTGAACTCCGTCATTACTTTTAGCTTGAAACAATTTATGTTTTTCGTGCTTACCATAAGAGTCATCTAAATTATGCAGACAGCATATAACTTATGAATATTCAATTACTTCTGACTTATTTTCTACTCTACATGCTCTCTAAATGTACATCTCAATGTGTTTTATATCTCATTTATATTAGGATTTAAAGGTATTTCAAATATGATGTAAATAATTTGGAACACTAATATGAATTATAAGATATTACAAATTTTATGTTAACAATAATTTGCTGCACTGATACAAATGATCATCATTATTTTAGCATTGCCACGAAAAGAATCTTTTATAACAATTTGATCAGATCAATTGTCTTATATGGTACATGATTATGTGGGGCACTACTTTCACCTAGTTTAGGTATGACATTTCCCAAAGCTAATAAGTTTTGGTTGTTGCTGCCACTTTCTTTAAGTATATTTGCAAATATATATGCTCTCTTACCATTTTCTGGGCCAAGTCTAGAAAATGGAGTATTTTATATTGGTTTATGTACAGAGTGAATATTTAATAATCCCTGCTTTGCTATGCATTAATTGCAATTGCCGTCTGTTTCACCACTCCCAGTTTGTAATCTAATATGGTAACATTGTACCGTACAAAAAAGAAAACAATATATAATGTATAGTTATATTATGTTACTTGTTAAAGTAGTTCGTATTTATTCCAGGTTCAGTATTCATATTTCCAGGTTCAGGAGTTTAGGCCATGCATTGACAGGCCAGTCATAAACCAGCCATAAACTTAAGTGTTCAAGTTCAAAGCAATAAGCAGTAAGTACAAAGTCAACATGTTTATATAAACCATTACAGAAATAATTTTTAATCCATATTAGGAACTTCTTTAAAAAGTGTTCTCATGGAACAGATATTTTAGAATATGTATAATAAAATATCTGTTTAGATCGTGTACTAAAAAAGATTCTATAAGATAAATAAAAGTACAAAAACTATTAGCTATATATTTAAGAATCATCGAAATTGGTGAAAGCATAGTTAATTACAAGTCCGCCGTTTCTCATTATGTAAGTGCCACAACGAAGTAATTAAACAGATTTACCAAAGTTAATAAATGTTTAAAAAAATTATATTTTTAAAAAATAAACATCTCATAACAGATGGTCCAAGTATCAGTGGTTTTACATATATGATCTCTTACAGAAAAAGAAAAGACTGCATAACTTATATAATTATTACATAAGATAGTAATTGGTTTTATTTGCCAGTCTTGGCCATGCAGAAACAACCGGATACCCATAAGAAAATCGAAGTCAAGCTGCGTTAGGCACAGTTAGCCCATAATGTGTGATCAGGTGCTGTTGACATGAGAAAGAGAAAATAGAGAGTGAGATATGAGAATTTGAAAAAAGAAGAATAAAGGAATGAGAAACAGAAAAAGGGACCAAAAAGCCAAAGAAACATTTTCTATTGGGCAATATAGGCCAGTTAACATCTTGACAATAAGAGAAAACTTAAACCTATAATGAATATAGACTATAATGGACAGGAAGATATATCAATAGATCAATATATTTGACAATATATACAATATATTTGACATAATAGATTCAAAAGAAAACTGGGTAATATCTGCAAAATTTATCTCATCCAAGGAAATTCAAAATATTAACAGTAAATAAGACCACTTTAAACGGAGAAGGAGGAAAGATTATAAAAGAATTATCTTTCGTTTCTAAAAAACTCTGTCCTAATTTAGGTAAAACCGTAGAAATAACTACTCTCCGCGATTTCGATAATTTTTGGATACATTATGGAAGTCGATATTTTGAACAACTTTTTCCTATACTGGACTAATATAGGGCTGGACGGGTTTAATTTCTGAGATACTCATGAAAAATAACAGGCTACAGTGAATTCAGTCTGTAGGTGTGCGTTTGTGGTAACATATACATCGGTATTTGTCTTACGGCGGACGGGTAAAATGACCTCTAAACAAATCTATTTCTTATCTTTTGTTTGTGGTTTACATAGGTTTCGGATAGAGGTCAATTTTTCCGGTTGGCGCATAAAGCAACGCGTAAGCCAAGCCTAGTTTTTATCTTTTGTTTGTGGTTTATATAGGTATTATTATATGTCGGAGATGAAAGAACACCGGAGCCTTTGGAACTTTGGATAACCCCGCAACATTGTAACCTAGAGTCTACTATAACAGTAATTGGGCTCGAGGCGACAGCCAGTCGCCGAACGTAGCCGCGGTCACGGGATGAACGCTTTATTTAACAAAGGCATGGAGTAATTCTATAGCTCTCCTTAAAAAGGAGATAGTTGTAACACTCGACAGTAAACATTCCAACGGTCTCTGTCCCGTGGCTCGCCACACGCAGACCCTATTCTTCGAGTAAGATGATTGCCAGATGTCGATGCGTCTCCGCAGTACATGTTCAGCTAGCCCGAGGGCCCGTTATAAATCTTAAGATTTAGCTAACTAAAGTCCTTCAAACAGACAAACAGTCTTTGTCCCAACTACGGGAAAGTAGGGGAGACCTATTTTTCAACGAGCGGCGTCTCCCACTAGCAACTTTCCCTCGAAGGCGGCTGGCATCTTTTTCTAACCACCGATATGGAAATTGACCAATTAGCAGCAATGCCAATTTCCCTTTCTTTCTGAACGAAGGCTTTTCTCGACGAATCCGATGATCTCGTATCCTTAGACACACCCCAATATAGTTTTCTTCTGTGGCATCATCGGAACGGGAAAGTCACTCTCGCTCGCGATCTCATCGATTAAAGAGTAACATCTTCGCGATCAGTGGTTATTTCACGTTTTAACCAGACTTAAACTTTGTGAGTACGTTCTGTTGTCATCCCGTTGGCCGCGAATTCGTTATTGAGCCCGAGACCATCGTCACTAGTGTCGCGTGATCAATTGTCAAGACTGTAATAATTCTATCATTGCAATAAACTACGCCTGTGTGTACCGTACCAATGGCTAATTCTCGAGAAGATTCATTTGACGCCCACAACTCTACTCCCAGTGCAAATCCGACATATATTATTATATAGGTAACTTCTTCCGGCTGCCATGCCATAAGCCGGCATATCTCAGAAACTAAACGAGTCCAGCCCTTATATGTACAGTACAAAATTGTTCGTAATGTCGAATTTTACGACATAATTATAACAAATTATTTGTTTAAGAAAATATTTGTGCTTGTAGAATTTTTATGGAAAGAAACATTGCCTTTAGAAATTTCTTTAAAAAGTGTTCTCATGGAACAGATATTTTAAAAAACTGAATAACAAAAGTTCCATATAAACAAGTTATTTTATAATGTTCTGACCTTCTTAACTGTTGATTTCAAAGAGAAACACGAAATAGCTTTAAACTATGAATTACCTACAAGAATGTTACAAATAAATAATGAGGTGATATGTCGTGATAGGGTCGGAAGGAAACTCAGATATATTCAAAGATAAATGTTCATTCACCGTAATGTCAATGAGTACACTTGACGCAGGACTCGCGATTATATTCGGTTCACGAATGCGCGGTTGCAAATTAGAGCTCGGATAGCTATGATTCGAGATGCGCTGCGAGTGCGGACAATGATTGCACGAAATATCGAGAGCTTAGGTAATTATTCGACTCGAACCGTGTAAGTGTAACGATCGTTGTGTGTTCACTCGCTGTAATAGACTGACTTTTTTGTCGCGATGCTGGTGCGGAGGAAGACTGCGTTGGGATGTGTCTAAGGATGCGAAGGCATCGGATTCGTTGAAAAAAGCTTTGGTTCGGAAAATGAGGGAAATGTACGCTAATGTTTATTGGCTAATTCGTGTTGGTCGTTGGAAGAGGATGCTAGCTGCCCTTGAGAGGGTGTTGTTAGCGGGAAGCATCGTACGTGAGAGATAGCGGATTTCTCGTGTGTCCCCATGGTAGGTGGTCGACTTCAAGACTGATAAACAAAGATTGTTTGTCTCTTTGGAGGACCGTAGCTAAAATAAATTCTAAGATTTATAGCGGTCCTTAGGCTAGCTGGAAATATTCGGTACGAATGTATCGACATCTGGCAATCATCTTGTCCGCAGGTATAGGGTCTTTGTGTCGTGCGTCACGCGACGTAAACTGTTGGAAAGTTTACTGTCAAGTGCCGCCACAATACATATTCAAAATATCAATTTAACCGCAATACTAATTAACTAATAATAATACTATTTAACTTTCACTTATGGCATGCTGTATATAAATACATAAATGTCATGTATAACGTCCTGATTTGCCTAACTATTGATTTCAAAGAAAAACACAAAATAGGTTTAAACTGTGAATTACCTACGAGAATATTACAAATAAATAGTAACACTATCTTTTTAATGGTATTACAACAATATTAAATAATTATACGGTTAAATTGATATTTTAAACATGTTATTTATTTTCAATATTCACGTAGATAATTTACGGTTCAAAACTAGTTTGTTTTTCTCTGTGAAATCAACGGATAGGAAGGTCAGTATGTTATTGAATATTATTATGCTTAATAAAAAAAAATTAAATATTATAATAGTAAATTATAGTATTATAATACGTAAATGTATGTTCATGTATTCTATTTATTAAATGTCTTTTATTAAAGAAATATATGAATAATACGATATTATATTGTTAAATAACACCAATGTTTAATAGTTTAGTACTTTTATTTATCTTATAGAACCTTTTCTAATACGAAATATAATATAGTAATATTAAAATATCTGTTTTACAATATGTGTTCCATAAGAACCATGTTTAAGGAAGTTCTAAATGCGGATAAAAAATTATTTCTATAATGGTTACAGGAAAAGCCGAATTTCGTACTCACTTTGTATGTATTGCTTCGAACTAGTATTTTAGCTTCAGGTTTGTACTAATAGATGGGTCTTGTCCACAGTCGTATATAAAGGTCTGAAAACTCCGGTGGTGGTGATAAGGCTCTTAAATATCGGGTGTTGTGTTTTACAAATCGGCTACTAT